TCAAAAGAATTGATAACTTCCAAATCAAAGTCCTAAACGATAGCGTTATGAAAATTAACGTATCAAATGATGAACAATATAGAGAATTAACTAAAGCTCTGAACGAACAAAATATTCAATGGTACTCTTATGAAAACAACTAGAAGAGACCAATTAAAATAATAGTCAAGAAACTGCATCACACTTGTAAACCTGGGAACATAGTCAAGCACTTACTTGACAGGGGCTACAAAGTAGTAGGCGCAGTCAACAAACTAAAATGGAAAACTAAAACGCCATTAAACATGTTTATGGTAACCTTTGAACATGATGAAGATGTTAACAGAATATTTGCCATTAAGGATATAATAGGAACTAACAATAAGATTGAAATACAACTTCTTAAAAAATCCAAGCTGGTATCACAATGCAAAAAGTGCCAGGCTTACGGGCACACTCAGCACTATTGTGCTAAGGATGCGTCAAATGTGCTGGTAAGCACTTAGCTGCCCACTGTAAGAAACCAAAGAATGCTGAACCAAAGTGTGTACACTGTGGTAGCAATCATCCTGCTAATTACCGAGGCTGTGAAATAGCTAAGGAAATGCAAAAAATAAGAAATAAGAATGTGAAAAAACCTGCTTTGCCCAAGCAACCAGCTAAACGAATACAACAAGATGAGGAGAAGAATATTAATCAAAAGGGAAAAGCCCAAGTACAGACAAACCAATAAAACGTATAGCCAAGTGACAATGGTTACGAAAAATGCCAAACCAAGTAAACAAGGAAATAATCAACAACAGGTATCGACTGAACAAACACTACAGTTGATACTGGACAAATTAAACAAGATGGATGAAAGAATGACTAAAAATAGCACTAAAGGAGCTATTCCCAAGAGAATCAATGTGTAATACACTTACAGTAATGGAATGGAATGCTAATGGATTACGACAGCATCAACAGGAGCTCCAGGTAATCCTAAATACTGAAAATATCGATGTGTGCCTTATCTCGGAAACGCACTTTACAAACCGATCATCTATTAACTTTAAAGGATATAAAGTGTACCACACCATACACCCAGACAACAATGCAAAAGAAGGCAGCACCATAATTGTTAAAAATTATATAACTCATCATGAAGAATTAGATTATAAAACTGAACATATACAAGCAACTACTATTTGTGTTAAAACTAAAAATTAAGCACTTAATATATGTTCGGTTTATTGTCCACCGAAACATTCTATTAAAAGAGAACAATATTCAGATTTTCTTAGATACCTAGGGCACAAATTCATCATAGATGGTGACTTCAATGCAAAGAATACATACTGGGGATCGAGGTTAACCACAACCAAAGGAAAGGAACTTCTAGAAGCAATAAAAGAGAATAACAGCACATCGTTATCCACAGGGAGGCCTACGTACTGGCCAACAGACCCGAGTAAAATCCCAGACCTCATTAATTTCTTTATTGTTAGAAATATAGATGCAAACTTCATTCTAGTGGAAGAAGGTTGGGATATGAATTCGGATCATTCGCCGATAATCCTAATACTCAGTGAAGATATTATCAAAAGAGAAGCCAAACCTACACTGGTTAATAAATTAACAGACTGGGAAAGCTTCAAAATTAACCTAGAGGAAAGAATTAACCTCCTAGTCCCTCTGCGCAATGAGGAACAGCTGGAAAAAGAGCTAGAATTATACCTTGAGAACATATAACAAGCTGCATGGGAAAATACTCCCAAGATACGAAGAAAACCACTGGAAATAACACTGTTCAACACCAAATTTGCCTTAAGTTCTACCAAGTCATTTCTGATAGATTTTTTAGCGCTGATTACGAATCTGGCTGTAAAAATAGCGTATCACGTCAAGTTTTTGAGAAAACTTCAGTCAAAGTTGCTAAAATAGGCATTTTTTATACTTTTGCATGAACTGTATCTTCCGATGGGGACGTGCTACAGATGACAGCGACAGCTCAAAATAAAGCTCAAAACTCATACTTTATGATAAAAACGCCAGAAGTCCCAGGCAGGAAAGATTTTCCTGATAAAAGTGGTCGAAACATAAAAAATATATATTGCAATGTTTTCCAGTCATACGTCTTCAATTGTCCGTTACTAAATTTTTTTTTAGTAACAAAAGTAACAAAAAACTACTCTAATTTTGTTCTTAACTGATAGCGACCATAAAAATCTACATCATGATTTGAATAATTTTTCAAAAATTTGATCCGCCATTTTGGATCTTTCATTTTTAATTTTAAAATTTTAACACGTAATTCGTGATGAGTGATCAGGCAAATGTATACATACCGACTTTCATAATTAGAATGATTTTAAAATATTTTAGTAACGGACAATTGAAGACGTATGACTGGGGACACTATACACGGAAAAAAATGCTGTTGCTTTAATTAAAGTCTGCGTCACGGGCTGCCACAGACATACATAGTCCATTTAATGATATTTTTATTAGACCAAACATCTGGATTATTAAAACAACTATCCAGATATTTGGTCTAATAAAAATATCATTGAATGAACTATGTATGTCTATGGCAGCCCGTGACATAGACTTTAATTGAAGCAACAGCATTTTTTTCCGTGTAGGTATTTCTTATGTTTTAACCACTTTTTTTCAGGAAAACCTTTCCTGCTTGGAATTTCTGGCATTTTTATCATAAAGTATAAGTCTTGAGCTATATTTTGAGTTGTTGTTGCCATCTGTAGCACGTCTCCATTGAAAGATATAACTCACGCCAAAGTATCAAAAACGCCTATTTTAGCAACTTTGACTGAGGTTTTCTCAAAAACTTGACGTGATACGCCATTTTTACAGCCAGATTCGTAATCAGCGTTAAAAAATCTACCAAAAATGACTTGGTAGAACTTAAGGCAAAAAAAAGTTATTATTTTGTCGACCAAAATAATTACCCAAAAGAAATACGTAAACTAATTAATGAGAAAAGAAAACTAAGGCGGATATGGCAACAATCAAGGGCCCCTCAAGATAAAACTAGACTAAACAACGCTAGTCAGCTTCTAAAAAGAGAGATCCAAAAAAATAAAAACGGATCTATTAACGCTTATTTAAGAGAGATGACAAGTGACAACAGTATAGACTTCTGGAAAGCCACGAAAAATTTGAAAAGACCAATAGTTTAATCTCCTCCAATCAGGCAAGAAGACGGACAGTGGGCTAGAAATAACCAACAAAAAGCAGAGCACCTGGATTGTATGCGTTCACTTATTGCAATATTTTGTATATAAAAATTAAAAAAAAATTGGTAAAATTAGGATTCAAACGTGCAACGAGCAGCGTTCTAAGCCGCCGCCTTATTCTCTGCGCCACGCTGCTGTCTGCTAACCTCTTTCGCTAATTCGGTATAGAAAGCGCACGAGAAATTTTTAATGCAAATTTCTCGCGAATGTTTGAGTATTGCGTCGTGCCACTAGTCCATGAATTAGTGGGGGGTTAGTACTAAAACATATTTAAAGTTGTGCGAAATCCGTGAGTGCACGACTTGGCCCTCCCCTTGTTAGGTCCGGTTCTCTACCTTCTCCGGTTGTACACATGTGACATCCCTACCATGGAGAGCGGCACCACTGCAACTTTTGCAGATGATACTGCTATCCTAGCAGTTGGGAAAACAAATGAAGAAGCGACGGAGAAATTACAAATGGCCACCAACCAAGTTAACAGATGGACAAGGAAATGGCGAATCAGACTTAACGAGACAATCAGTACATGTTAATTTTACAAACAAAAATACTCAGCATATACCAGTTAATATTAATAACAAACAAATTCTTTATTCAAATACTGCAAAATCATAAATTGTATCTTTATAAGTATCATAAAATATTTATTATTTTTCTTATATAAATACGTTAATTTTAATATTGACGTATTTACAACATTAGTTAATTGATCAGTAAATACTCTTAAAAAGACGATTAAATGACGTTATTTCTGTGACAATAATATGTCGTCAAAAATATCACATCTGTGTGTCATTATTTTTTAGTCGACTGACGTCATATGACGAGAAATGACCTTAAAATGACGTTATAATGACGACACCTTGCTAGCGTGTCCGCCAAGTTGCGGGTCGCACTATTGTATCGCGGATTGTGCTTAATATGACAACCTACGACAGCCACAATATCCATTCGATTATTCGTGTTTATTTGGATTGACAACAATATGGATTAGAATGTAATGATTTCAGATTGGAAATAATCCGCGAAAGCGATATTAAAACCGATTATAGTTCGTTCGGAATTAAAATCGATTACTTTTTAATCCGAGCGCGGATTGAACCGATTAAAACGGATTATGTTTTAATCGGTTTTAATCGACCATTTTCGACGGGGAAAGGTTTTTTGACGTCGATCGTTCGAGAACTTGCTGTTTGTCACAATTTTTCAGCTCGAAGGACAGCGCACGAGCACGCACCGATCAGCTGAACGCGACGTTATTTATTCGCTCGTGTTTTGATTTATCAACGGTTACTGATAAATATCTTAAACGAAAAGCGAAAACCGTTCGAATCTCAAACAGTTACTAATTTTAAAAAGTAATTCGTTACCGTTACTCAAAAAATAATGAGTCGTTACAATTTCCGTTAGTTTTTTTGTATATAATACAAACTTTACATACAATTTTTTTTAATACAAGATCAAATTAAACACTAAAAATTTTGAAACATTCTCTTACAAAGTAGAAAGAAACAAGATACCAAAATGAGTTTCCAATAGTTTTCATGTAATGCTCCATTCCAACACTCTTATTAATATGTTCCTTTGTATGAAAATTATACTGATGATAAATTCGAAAAAAGTAACGATAAAAGTAACTGTTAAATTCGTTACTCATAACCAAAAAATGTAATGAAGTTACTTTTTCCGTTACAATCAAAATTTGTAACGCCGTTACCGTTACAGTTACCGAAAAAAAGTAACTGTAACGGTAATGACGTTACAAATAACTCGTTACTTCCCAACCCTGGTTAATACACACTGTGTACACACTTACATATCTTATACTTACTCATGGACGTAAGAAATATCTGGACGGAACGTATTGCCGCGGGGTTGAAGACCATGAAGGAAGAGTAAAGGTGCCTTTTCACGCTGACGCTTGACGCTTATTTTTAGCGTCAAAGTAGATCACGTGATTAAAGTTGACGCTACATTACGAAAAACGCATGAAAAGAGTTTAGCATCGAATTTATATGGCATTAATATCATATGTATTATATACATATATACAGGGTGATTCAGAAATACACCGACAAACTTGGATGATGAGTTCTTCACATAAAAACAAGAAAAAAATGTCATATGAACATATGTCCGGGAATGCCTGGTTTATTACTATCTATCAAACTGAATTTAAACATTTATAACATGAATATGAATATAGGATAATTAGAAGTAGATCTTGCATTAAATAGATACAATAATGTTAAAATTCTCTCTGATAAACTTTCTAACCTCAAGAAGTATCATCTTTAATTCATTACTCTTTTTATAATATTGGATAACAAATTCAATTATTATTTTCGTATTCTACTCGTCACAATATGAAGTTTCATCCAAATCAATGAAGAGATGTATATTCTGCATTCTCATTTCTTAAATTTCGCTTTTTAATAATAACAAAATTAATTAATTAATTCAAAATAAAAGTTTGAATTAATTAAATCACTAATATTTTATTTTATATTGAAATTCCATTTTAATTTCTTTTCCATTTGTATTTTCTTATGGCACGGTGCAGTATCGTTTCTTTTTTATGTTAATTTGGCACTAGACGAGCGAAGTTGACTCGTTATACGGCCAACAGCACGACTTGACGCACAGCTTAAAGCTGAGACAATCCAGCTTTTTTTTTGACGCTAGCGTTAAGTCGAAGTCGCGTGACCACGTACACCGCTGAAACGAGCGTCCCATGAATTCGCATCTTAAGGAGAGTTATCTCGATAGTGTAGAGAGGAAAAAAGTTGGTCACAAAATATGTTCCGTATGTGGCCAGGTTTGCCAAATGGAATAACTTGGACCATTTTGTCGCCATCTTGAATATTTGTATATATTTAGTGTTACGTTTAGTTCTGGTAGTAATTAGTAAGTAATACGTCACCCAACACACTTACTAATTACTAACACAACTAAACGTAACACTATATACAGGGTGTCCCGCAACGTGATGTCCACACTGGAACTGTGTATTCTTTTTGTCATTCTAAGTCAAAAAGTCTTAATACACATATGCCCTAAATTCGATTGTTTCAAAGTTATAGCGAAAAAACAAAATTGCAAAAAAAAAATCATAATCACGCAGTATTTTCCAAATTGTCGTTTTAGAGACGTTAGTTTGCGCCGAAAGTCTTCTGATACTAATAGTAGGAGTTCTGTACACCGTTGCTAGTATCGCATCCTCCACTTGACGATGTCGCCTTAGTGGTCTCTCAAGATTTTTATTTGGGACCTTACCAGTAAATTTAACGCTTCGGTGAACATTGCTAAAAACTCTTCGATCTGGTACTCTGCGATTAGAAAATCGTCGGTGATATTCTGTTACTGCTGCACGTGCGTTACCATTACAGAAACCATAAATAAAATGAATATCGACATATTCTTCATTGGAAAATGCACTCATGATTGGTAGGTAAGAGAAATTTCTAAGCTATGTTTATGCGATGTTTTTACTTAAAACGACAGTCAATTTATTAATATTATCTTGTGTGGCAAGAGTGGAAAACAATGAATTATGTCGAGTATGAAATTGCCGCATTCGCTTCAGCTCATGCGCCAACTTCATGCGCGACGTAGTTCGTTGTCTTCCGCATATGCCATACATACAATATTTTTTGTAATGCCTGTTATTTCCGCACTACTTGTGCGGTAAGGTAAGTCATAAAAGTGCTTTTCTCGCATTAGTGTGAGAAATAACTACTTTTGCATTTTTTCGCTATAACTTCGAAACAAGCGACTTTAGGGCATATGTGTAATTAAGACTTTTTGACTTAGAATGACACAAAGAGTACACAGATTCAGTGTGGACATCACGTTGCGGGACAACCTGTATATACGAATATTCAAGATGGCGACGAAATGGTCCAAATTATTCCATTTGACAAACTTGGCCACATACGTAACATTTTTCGTGACCATTTCCAATCTAGATAGATAACTCTCCTTATTCTTCCTTCATGCTGAAGACAAAGAGGAAAGGGGATTGAAAGTTTTAGTGTAACGGATATAACAAGCAAGATGGCGGAGCAGCCAATAATTGCACGGGTCCGGTCTATTGGAACGTCTTAGCAGTTAAAATCACGTAAAATATTGAACAACCAAGATGGCCACATCGAGATTTCCTCTCACTCCTCAGTCTCCATACCCCGCGCCCGAAAATGTATCTTGTGCTCCGTCCAGATATTTCTTACGTCCATGTATTTACTTACATATAGACGAAAATTTACTTACATATAGACGAAAAGTCCTGAGCCATTTTTTTTATAACGCTTAATAAAGAAGTTATAAAAAAAAAGACTCAGGACTTTTCGTTTCAGTTTTTAGTAAGGAATAACGCTATGTACTTAGTGGGCGGTCATTGCGGGTCACCCTGTATACTTCCATTTTGCCCAATTTCAAATGGCTGTCCTTGTTTCACATCTCATACAGCACAGGACATAGCAATTATATTGCAGTAATGTTACAATCTTGCAAGTTGCAATGTAATATTGTTGAGACATTATTGGATCATCTAATTGTAATGTTTCATGAGAATGTTACAGCAACATTCCAAAAACGTTACAAAAATTCCAGATAGCCAAGAATATTAAAATCACGTTTTGCCAAAGCTTTGCGGCAAGGTGTGCTTTAATTTTGACAACAATTGTCTAGCAAACATTTGTCTTGTTTTGTTTTGTCAACAAGTTTGGAACAAATTGACGGCAAAATTTTTCGTCTCACGATGCTGTCTAAATAAAATAATAGAAAAAGGCTTGCCAGTAAATTTTACGCATAGAAGAACACGTATGATGCTATTCACGGTGTAATACAAACTTTACATCAATTAGTAGCAAATCTTATTATACACTATAATAGTTACTTGTTATACGCTATAATAGCAAATTTACGACGTCAGCCGATAGTTCGTTTGTTCATCGCTATGCGATGCGCTATATGCATCCATCTCGTATTTGTTTTAGTCATGAGAAGTATATAAAGCTTGCAAAGAGCAACTCTGGCAGAAGATTAAAAATATAATTATTTCTATCAGTTCAATTACTGATACAATCCCAACATAGGGAATTCAGATATTGGACTGATTGTTTCTCTTAGATCGAGCAGATAAATGCCTGAAAAAGTTTAAATCATCCGTATTGTTTACTTAAAATGTAAATATATACATATATGTATTATATATATATATAAATTCATATATTCATCATATTATGAATTCATTTTCAATTATTCATATATTATCATCATCTCATAATTATAATAAATGTCATCTAAGACTTTGTCTGCCCGGTCGCACAGCTTTTAAACGACGCGTCAAAGAACGGATTGTTTCACAAAAAAATAGTCCTCTCTGTGAGATTTATCGTTTCTCACAATTTGTCACAGAAATCCTGAATCACTCACCCCATATAGAAAATTACCACAAATTTGCTATCACGCCATGCACAGCAAGATTTGTTCTGATCTTGTTACAAATTTTCTATCATACCGTGCATGGCTAGGTTTGCCCTATTCTTGCCACAAATTTACTGTCATGTCGTGCACGGCAAGGTTTGCTCTGTTATTTGGGTAAAACGTGTGTCACACTATTGCGACAAGCCTTGCCAGCAAAAGCTAAGCTTTTTGCGGACACACCTTGTCGCAATTTTGCTGCAAAGGCGTGCTCGGTTTTGCTGCAAACTTTGCGCAAAATATGCATCATTTTGTTTGCTGGGAAACAGTTTGCGGTAATCGCTAGTTCGTCCGTTTCCCGCTATGCGGCGCGCGTTGCGTTAACTATTTCGCATTTTAGTTTGAGTCACGATTATATAAAGGCCTTTGCACAATGCTAGGCGATAACGATAGCGATAGCCAAACAGAAAATTCCAACACTAAGGAATGCATATGCAAATGCAGAATGTTATTCTCTGCAGAGAATTCGCTAGATTTCGCGTTTTTTGTCTTTTATTAACATTTTTAATATTAATAGTGTTATAAACAGTTATGGTATGGGTTCCAGAAAAAGTAAATATTATAATTGGATATTAAATTGTAATTGAATGATTCAAACGTGAAATCGAATTTCAAAATGATCTCATTTTTGCTGTTATTGTAATACTGTTGACATGTTAAACACAAAAGAAACGTTATCCTAAAAAAATATTTCAGGTTGCACCACTCAAAATCGTAAGGAGCATAGATTTTATAAAGCTATTTTACAATATGTAAAGTTAGAAAGTGCAAGATGCATGAATTATTTATAATTATTTATAATTATTTATTTTTAGTTTTAGTTCTATTTTTATTTTTTTTGATTTATCTTTAATGTTCTTTAGTTAGGTCCTGCGCACAATAGAGAAAAAAATATTAGGAATAGGAATAAAATATTAAATATTAAAAAAAGCAATTTGGAATTATTTTATTTCAAACAAAGAAACAGAATGAATTAATTATTTCTAATTTTTAATTTATTATGCGTTAATTCATTCGGTTCCCTTGAAAATAATTTGAAAATAATTCCAAATTGCTCTTCCTATATTTAATATTTATTCCTACTCCTAATATGTCGGCTGGATTTCGATATTCATTGCCAGCACTGAAAATCTATAGTGCATGTGACGTAAACTATAGATTTCCAGAAGATTGATTATGTATCTTAAAACGATGTGAGAATTACAAAGGTGAGGAAATTCACTAGAGTATCTACGATTTCATTCGTCGAAATCTAGTAAATCTGTTCACTTTTGTAATTTTCACTTCGTCTCAAGGGCACACAATCGACTCCCAGTACTCGCAGTGAATATCGGAACGCAGTCTTTCTCTATTATGCGCAGGGCCTTAAGCCTATATCAGACTGTACATTGAAGATTGAGATTGAAATTTCAAGATTGAAATTTGATCAATCAAGAGAAAGAAATTTTAGTTTCTTTTGTTATGATTAGTCAAATTTCAATCTTTA